TTTAGAGCAGTGTGAACAACTAAACAAGTCAAATCATCTTTTCTCACCCAAATCTTTTTGGTCTTAACAAAATCAGGTCTTGCGGTCTTGGTAAATGTCTTGGCAAATGTCTTGGCGTTGCGAACACCCTCATGAATCTTGGTATTCCGCCTAGACATGTAAGGTTATCTCCTAACCCAAAAAGTATTTGAATTTCTACCCTTTTGAGACACCTTACCAAACAATTCAAAGCAATAAGGACGAATGTGGCCATACCTACCACAGTGATAAGAAATAAAAACAGGTTTTACCTCCATTTTGTTGATCTTACCCCCTTTAGATAGATGAAGAGAGGGATCACCCTAGTCTACCTTCAACTTTCCCTTTGCTTGAGTCTTCAGGTCATGTGATGTAGAGGCCTGTCCCTTGTGAGCTGTCGCACCATAGCCTAGCCCACTTTTATCACAACCCATTTGTTGAGACCCAATGATGTCTTCTAATAATTGGGAACCTTTGTTCCACATGGCAATTGTGGCTCTAGCAATACGGAGTTCTTCATCTTTCTGACAGACTATCTCTTCCAATGTAGCTTGTGACATCTCAAGGCTTTCAAGCTTTTCTTCATATATGGAATACACTTTCAGAAGTTCATTCCTTTCAGTTTCACAGGATAAAAGTTTTCCACATAGGCCTTGCATGTCACTTGAGATCTTGATGACATTCTGCTTTGCTGCTACAAGTTCTCCTTTTAGCTTGACATTCTCGCTTTCACATGCTTTGAGATTGAGAGTGAGTTTGTCATTGATTTTAAACAGGTTCAGAGATTCATCGTAAAGCTTTTCGTGAGCTTGTTATAGATCATCACCAGTAATCTCATCATTGCCTTCTGATGTTTCATCATCATCTTTTTGCTCCTCATTCTCCTTGACCTCATCCAGTCGGGCAACTAAGGCAGAAAAAGTGACGGATGGTGGTGAAGATGACTCTCCTCTTTCATGAAATTGGCTCAGAATGTCCCATGCATTTTTAGCTTTTGTACAGTGAGCAACCCGTTACTGTTCTTCATCAAAAATAGCTCCACGAATAGTAGTCAGAACTCTCTGATTACTTGGATTGTCAACACTTTCAACATCCTCTTCAATGACTTGCCAGCCTTCTGGATCGAAAGCTCTCAGAAACGCTCTCATTCTAATCTTCCAATACAAGTAGTTACTCCCATCAAAGGTGGGAGCATGATGCAAGTTCTGACCACGAGCTAATTTCGCTGGCTTTGGAAGAGGTTGAGTGAAAGTGGACCAAAATACCATGAAAGCACTATCCCTGTCTTTATCGGATTCAGGTTCTTTGGGTTCTTGCTCCGATCCGCTTTCATCATCCCAAGTCACTGTGTAGACTTTCTTTCGATTCTTTTTCGAAGGACATTCAAGGGCAATATGGCCAAACCCTTGGCATTCATAGCACTTGACCCGTTGCCCCTTTACAATCTTCTTTTCAGTTTTTGGAGCAAGTTTTGGTGGAAAATTTTGGATTTTTCATTACTCTTGTGTTTTGAAATAGGGTCTCTAAAATTAGGCTTCTTTTCCTTCAAAAATTTTTTAAACTGTTTAGTAAACATAGCCGTCATTTCAGACTCTAAATCAAACTCAGTCTCCGGTGTTTTTGCAGACTCATGAGCACTAGTGAAAGCCACACTATCTTTTTGTTTTTTCTTAGAAATCTGGTGGGCTTCCTAAGTCTACAAGTTTACAACCAACTGATCAAGCTTTAGGGTCTCAACATTCTGAGCCTCCTCAATGGCTGTCACTTTTGATTGGAACCTCTCAGGTAAAGACCTCAAAAATTTTCCAACAACTTTAGCTTCAGGGATTTTTTCACCGAGTATGAAACAGAATTCACGATGTCACTAAGTTTTGCATAGAAATCATCAAACGTCTCATCATCACGCATAAAAAGGGTTTCAAAAGCAGAGGTGAGACGTTGAAGTTTTGACCTTTTAACAGAAGAAGTACCTTCGTGAATCGATTCAAGAATATCCCAAGCCTCTTTTGCTACCTCACACGTGCAAATATAACGAAATTCTTCAGGTGTGACGAAGCAAAAAAAAAGGAATTGAGAGCCTTACTATTCCAACTCGAGTTTTGGTAATCGGTTGTGTCCCATTTGTCAAGGGGTTTAGGAATGTCAATACCATCAATGGTGACAATAGGTTCACTCCACCCATAAATCACGCAGTGCCAAACTTTCTCATCGATGGATTTTAAAAACGCTCTCATACGAGCTTTTCAATAAGAATAGTTTGTACCATCGAGTAAAGGAGGTCTGTGGGTCGAGTTACCTTCACGAATTGAATCCATATCACTAGTCACACAAAATCACACTCCTATAGTTTTGATAAAAACAAAGAGTGACCTGCTCTGATATCAATTAAAAATCCTAAGTGATTCGTGATTAGATCAAAATTAAAATATTTCAATTCCCAATCATTCAAAACACACAATCTAAATCATCAAGCACTTACGAAAGTGATTTAGATTGTTGTTTTTTAAATAAACAATAAATCGACACAAACGATTTTTACGTGGAAAAACCGCAATTGAAGAACCTTCAATTGTAATAAAAAACCACGGGCGAAACCCCACTAATCAATCCACTACTGAAGAAAGAAAGATTACAAAGATAACAAACAAATTATCCAACTCATCCAATTTGTCTTCAAACCTTCTGTAACTCTTTCACCAAGCCTTCGTCTCGGAACTGATTAATCTGAAGTTGAATCCACAACTTTACTTGTCGAATCAACGACTACGTACAGAATCAAACTCCTTTAAAACTCCACGTTTGAATCTTCGGAATCCACCGAAGAAGACTACTCTTGTATGTAATCAATCAACCTCCTTGATCAGTGCTTGTCAATTCATGAGTTTAATACTCATTCAAATTATCAAGGAAAACTCACAAAAATACTCAAGAAGAAAACCTTAGAAAACCTCAAAGTAGATCTAAAAAACCTAATCCTAGTTTAGGATTAAAACAGATACTTATAGAAATCTGGAACAACGAATGACGCTCGAGCGAAGCTTCTCTCGCTCGAGCGAGGAACTTATGTCGCGTGATTTCCATAAGTGGCTTCGCTCGAGCCACGCATCCTGCGCTCAAGCGCACATTCACCTCTCTCAGGTTTTTTGCCAGACGCAGTCTTCGCTCAAGCGAGCAAAACAAAACAGTAAAAAAATTACAACTCAATGACTTAAGGTTTGTTCGTGGATTTGACAAGACTAAGGGACCTAACAAACTCTTATTAATTAAAAGGGAACCGGAAGCCACACAACAAACAATGACATTATATAAGTAAATAAATTCTTTAATCATATGCATTTAATTCAGAAAGTCAGATGCCTTAAATCATTACAAAAAATTCTCACTATGCGGGAAGCATGATTGGCTCCTCTTATGATGCTTCTAGTTTGAACAAGAAGTATAACACCGCGAATGAAGATTGACAACAAGAAATCATAGTGGTGCACACTTGCCTCTCCTTTTATTAGATAAGATTAGTTAGAATACTAAGCTTCCGTTTGGGAAGTGGATTAGCTTTTTGGCTTTTTGATTTTTTTGGTTATTTTAGCCTGGGCTAAAAAGCTTGGTTTGGGAAGGGCTTTTTAGCTTTTTGGCTTTTTTGACTTTTTTTGTGAGAGAAGAAAGTAATGATTATAGGTTGGATGTGATGCTTTGTTTGTTATGGCTAAAATAGCCTATTTTGTTTTTTGTGACTAAAATAACTAAAAAAACCTGAAAAAACCCTTGCCAAACACAAGCTAATAAATATGTGTAGAAATTGATGCTTTACTCAAAAAGCATCTGATAGACGCAATGACAGCTTGCCCACCGACCCAAAAATCACAAAAGGTTACATATTAAATTAAAAACCATTTTAATAAAACATTTTAAAATCATCTCTCTCTCTCTCTCTGATTGGTACAGGTTTGTGTTGGTTTGTCTTATGTTGAAATTGAGAAGTAGTAATAGTTGTAATGGTGAAGTGAAGCTGTTGATTATCAAATTGTCTAGTTCTGAATAATCAAATTTTCATGGGCCTTTTTAAAAAAAAAAAATTATAAATTGGCGAGAGCCGTGTGTTTAATGATAGATAAGTGGAATGATAAAGTCATGAACATTTACTGAAAATTTGAAGGGATTGGTTAACTTTGATCTTTATCCCAAATGCAGGCCATCCAACTAGTTTCTGATGGGTGGAAAGAATATAGCAAGTAGAACAATCAATGGTTGGAGATGGATGTAACATCTTGCTCTGTGATGCTCAACTTCTGTTTTTGTTTTTGGGGATATAAATTGTAATGACCGGTGGAACTTTTATTTTGGATGTTAAAAATTTAAGCATGTGACCTGTAATGACTCTCTTTTAGGTTCTTTTTTTATTTTTTAATTTTTTTTTTTTTTATTTTAAGAGTTTAGATATGGATGGTTAATCTCACTCTTTTCTCTAAAAAATTGACTTCAACTTGAGTTGTTGTACTTATGAAACTTCATATATTTGTTTTGAGCTCTGCCTTTTTAAAATATAAAATTTCAAATAAATGATATTTTTACAAAATATTTATAAATCTTTAATTATTGAAATTGATACTTTTCCACTGAAGTGGAATTTTTCCATTTCAAAATCTGTCCTAATGACTTGGGTAGGTTTCAAACTTCATAAATTACTTATCATTTTACCCACAATTTATTTATTTTATTTTTTTTATGTATACAATAATATTAAATATTTTATTTTTTATGTATACAATAATATTAAATATTCTTAAAAGTTATATTTATGAATCATATTTATTCTAAATATAGGTGATATAACCTTGAATCAACATTATACATCTTAAAAAAAAAAAAAAAAGTTGGATAAATAATTTTCCTCTCTTTTGAAACTTTGCATTAACAATGTCCCTGCAATGGGAGTCCCTATTCCTTTGGAACCCTAGGTTTTACCTACTTATACATTAACAATGTCCCTGCAAATGGAGTACCTCCTCCTTTGGAACCCTAGGTTTTATTGAAGAAGAAGACGACGATGCATCGTAGCAACCCCAATCCACCCTCCGCCTTCGATGACCACGGGGAGGAACAGCGAGTCGGTCTCCAACTTGATATGGAAATTGCTCATCCTGTTCCTGATCCATTTATATATAATGAATCACAACCACCCTCAATCTCATCACTCTCACCATTACCATTACCACCATCTTCATCATCATCATCATCATCATCATCATCAAAACTCGCCTATATTTGTCCAACTGACTGTGAACAGTTTCATTGGTATGCTGTTCAAGTCTCCGACGACGACGACGACGACAATCAACAATTTCCCCACAACAGCCCTCGTCTTCCTTTTCACGAAGACGACAATGAAAGGTATGATTTTGATTTTGATTCTGATCAATTTCTCAAGACCTCGGCAATAATCCTATTGCTAAGAAATTAGAGATCCTTCCTCAATTGCCTCATACCTTAGGGCCATATATACACACTTTGCTTCTGGGTGGGAAGTTTTATTTCCTGGGTGGTTTAAAACCACCACCATCACCATGGGCCATGGCTTTTGACCGGAGCCTAAATCAATGGGCGTCTCTACCTAACCCTGCTCCAACTCCACCTTTTCCAATTACGATTAGAAGTATATTCTCTGTAGCTTTACATGTTCCCAAGCCATGTATTGTCGTTAGGGATGCCATTTTAATTCGATCTGCAGGGGCTCGCCTATATCCGTTCGAATGGAGCCGATTTTTCCCGACGCGACACTTATGTGAGGCGGAGGTGGATTATATTTTGGCCACCCGCAACGGGGGTGGATACCACCTCTTTCGATCCAAACCAGATCCGTCATAATTAATAATATATAAATAAATAAATATGTATATATAAAATAATATATATATATACATATATATATATATATATATATAATTAGATATAAGAAAGGAATACTAAAAGTCTGTGTTTCTGTGTAAATATAAATAAATAATAATGCTAAAAGTCTTATTGTTTATATATATGGAAACAAGGGAAATTATTTAGTTTGTTAAAGGATTTAAATGGTTTTCAATTTTTTTGGCTATTTGAAATGTGGGCAGGTATCCACGGGAGCAGGGATGATGTCGAAAAATTCCACCCCTAGCGGGGTTGGGGCAGGGGCAGGGGCAGGGATGGGATTTATCCGCGAAGGCGGGGGTGGAGGTGGGGTGGGGGATGACAAACCCGTCCCGTGACCATCCCTAATTGTGGTGGGTTGGCCTAAGGACCGTGTCCTCCGAAGGTACAATGTTAATACCAAAAATTGGGTAAGTGAAGAGTTTGAAATCTCTGAAACCCGCTTCTTTTTGTCCAGATGATTTAATGGAACCTGCATTGGCTGTTGACAGCAAGTTGTATTGGTATCCAGCTCCACACACTCAACGCCAAATTCAATCTCCATGACTATAGAAAGTCATGCCAGCAAGTTGTATTGGTATTCAGCTCCTTACACTCAATGCCAAATTCAATCTCCATGACTATAGAAAGTCATGCCAGCAAGTTGTATTGGTATTCAGATCAAAACACTCAATGCCAAATTCAATCTCCATGACTATAGAAAGTCATGCCTGTTGATACTGGATCTCCTCCTCCTTCGAGTTTGGCTCATCTAGGCGGCAACAAGTTCTGCTTGTTTTGGTTTTCAGTGGTGGAACTCAGGCCAACATTTATAATTGAGACGGAGCCGGAGTCCTTGTCTGAGAAAGAGTAGGAGGTGGAGGTGGTCCCTGGACCGCTTAATTTGGAATCTTTTCGCATTTACTACATGAAGTTTCGAGTTACCAATGGCAGCCGTCCCCTAAAGAGTGGAATATTTCCCTTAAAAAAAAATTCTATCTCGTGCCAATCTTAGTTTTTGAGTATATGACTTATTTTTGTGGTGGCTTGGTGATGTAAAGTATGTCTTATTTGCAAGACCTTATTTTAGAAGATGTATATAATATAATCTTGAAATTTTAACAAAACACACACACCTGTGAGAAAACTTCTATTGTTCTGTTGGTTATATCTAATTGTTCTTTTGTTACTTTTCTATAACAACGAATCATTAGGCTTAAATTTGTTTTTTTGGACTGATGTTAAAAACTAATTGCAATGCTTGCTTCCCATATCTTAGCCTCGTTTACTACTGAATATAATGCTATCCCTTTTGGCCCTACTTGATTAGCAAGATTAATAGTGACAGGATTAACAATCCATGAGATTGGTGTAGCATTGGTTATCCAATGATTGTGAGTTCTATGAATTAATAATCCTAATCCTATGTTATAGTCCATCCAATCAAACAAGCCTTTCATGGATTATTTGATATGCTGATTATTCTTCTTGCCTGTGAAAGTGTTATCTCCACCCTAGAAAGCAAACAGGTCAGTTTGCAAGGAAACATTTACTAGGCATGCTTAAAAATGTATGCTAGAGCCTGTGATACACCTAGAATGAAGAAGTGGTTGCCTTTGTGGTCCCAATCATACAACACTGTTTTGGTAGGCATGTTTAAAAACTTCTGCTAGAGTATGGGGCAAGTGGTTTCCCTAATTAGGTGCTTTATAGTAATTTGTCTCACATGCTTTGGATCTATTAAAATATTACAAATTTAGCCTTTGTATCAATTTTGTATTTTTTGGTTTCTTTGCAATTGATATTTGCTAGTAGCAGTTCTGGGTGCTTGTTTTCTTGCTCATAGTGAGATTGGTAGCAATGATTGGTGCTTGTTTCCCACGACCTTTTTCTTGACTCATCTTTCTTGAACAAGTGCACCTCGGGAGGCTCCGGTAGGTCTAGGAATAGGTTGTGGCCGATGTGGAATTGGTGTTTCAATTTTGATCATTGATTGTAGACTTTCTGGTTTGGTTTGGGGAAGTACCACGACCTTTCTTGACTCATCTTTGCTGATCAAGTGTTAATTGGGAGAGGCTTTGGATGGTGTCCAGGTTTGAATTGGGGAACTACTTTCCATAGAAATTGAATTCGCAATCTCACACAGTAAAGTGGTGTTATACGAACTAAAAATCGTGGGTTGTAAAAAAAGATATGTTAGCCGGTAAAGAATTGGCAAATTCGCTAGTGCTCCCAACAAATCCAGCCATAGCTGTTTGAATCTCGTACGAACAGCTTAAAATTTCTTTTTGAATCTCGTACGAACAGCTTAAAATTACTTTTTGAATCTCCTACAAAAAAAAAGCCACTGCGTTCTTCAATAATTTCTGGTAAATTACATATACTACTTCTACACTTTTATCAAAATTTTAATTTAATTCTTTTACTTTCAATTATAACAATCAATTGTCATACTTTAGGTCAAGTTGCAATTTCACCTTTCTATTTATCTACCGTTAATATATTTAGTGTTAGCAAACAACTTTAATGATCTAGGAAGCTTTGTGTTAAACTTTGGAAGGTAAGAAAAACTGAAAAAACCGAGAAAAATAGTTGATAGAATTTGTCATTTAAAGCATATGTGACATTTTTATTATCACAGTAACATTCTTGTACTTTACTAAAATTTTATTTTAGTTCTCACTTTAATCTCTTCACTTTCAATTTTTGTCAACTTTATTAATAGTATATGGACATAAGAGTAAGATTGAAATTTAATTTAAAGTGTAAATAGTTGATTATTACAATTGAAAGTGAAGTTATACTAAATAAAATTTTGGCAAAAATATGAAGATGCTAAATCTAATTTACCCAATAATTTCCTTTGAAACTGCATCACACGCCTCGATTAACCCCTTTCGCAAACTGATTGTCACACTCAAGAAAACAAAATAATGTGCGTGAGTTGCCAACAAAGCAATAAAACAGACCGAGTCAAGACCAGCAAACCAAAACCAAAACCAAAACCAAAACCAATGAATAGCTAGCAACGACCTTGGATATTAACAACCAAAATTTCCAATCTCATTCTACAAACTGATTGTTTTATTTTTCATATTTGATAGCTGGGTTAGTGGCTGAAGTAGCCTCTGTTCATTGAAATACATTCTCTAATTTCCTGCAATAAAAATATAAAAAAACAAAAATAATAATTACAATTCCTGCAATAAAATAATAATAATAATACCTTCTTGGACAAATTATATGTGCCTCCGGTCCGAGTAGTTCAAGTTATATCAATTTTACGTTTCAGTTTTTTTTTTTTATATTATGTTAATTTAGTTTAATCAATACCAGCTAATTGGAAATTGAATAAAAATCTATGGTAGAATGATTTATTCAAGAGAGAATAGACCATTCAACTCCTTAATCAATTTGAAGAGTACGAAAAGATTATTTTGCCACTTGATTTTAGTCTCATTTGTAAAGTGACATTGTCAATTAGATTAAATTGGCATAGTATGAAAATTCAATGATAAAATTGATGCAATTAGCAATAACCAAATTAACATAAGAGACAAATTATTAGGACTACGAGTGTAATCTTTCCTAATTTCTTATTGTTATAAATTTGATTTATAATAGATTAGTTGTGCTACAAACCTATAAAAATTATTTAAAACTAAAATATTTAGACAAGATTTCTTTTGATTAATGACCTATAACCTACTTTAAATCTACAATGTACATCACTTTTATAATAAAATTTGGGAAAATTTTTTTTAAAAAAAAAAAAAAAAAACTTAGAATTTGAACCTCGTAACAAAATAAATTTTGAGTTTTTAATTTTGTCAATTTAAACTCTAAACTTTTGATTTGTTTTCAATCTAAATCATTTGCCTATTTTAGTAAGTAAAATCAATTTAAAAAAAAATATTGTAGTTATTAAACTTAATGAAAAGCATATTTTAAACATTTTATAAATACCTACAACGAGTTTAATGATTAAAATATTCTTTTTTCGTTGATTTTACTTAATAAAAATAGATAAATGGTTTAATTTAAAAAAAAATCAAAATATTAAGGTTTAAATTAATAAAATTAAAAATTCAGAATTTATTTTATTATAAGGCTCAAACCTTAATATTTTTTATGTAATTGTCCCAAAAAAATTTGATTAAATTTCTATATATGGTACTTTTTTTCTTTTTTTCTTTTTTTGAACAATATATACTGTACCTAGAATTATTGAAAATGGATAGTTCAATTGTCATAATGGTAAGAGAGTGAAATTAAATTTACTTGGGTAGATATTCGATGAGCCAGTACCCGCCCGGATCAATCTCATGAATAATAATAATAATAATAATAATAATAATAATAATAATAATAATAATAATAATAATAATAATAATAATAATAATAATAATAATAATAATAATAATAATAATAATAATAATAATAATAATAATAATAATAATAATAATAATAATAATAATAATAATAATAATAATAATAATAATAATAATAATAATAATAATAATAATAATAATAATAATAATAATAATAATAATAATAATAATAATAATAATAATAATAATAATAATAAAATATATAATAATAATAATAATAATAATAATAATAATAATGCTAAATAAATGTAATAATAATGGCACTACTTACCCACGTGACCTTTTTTGAAACATGAGCTATATAATGTCTTAGAAACTCAAAGTGATATCTGATATATTTAGGACGGTTTTTAAATTGGTACACTCTGTACAGTGGGCTGTTTTTTTGCTTCATGGCATCAGCTTTCCAATTTCCCAATTCTGTAATATTGTCAAACTTTATCTCCAAGGATTTTTGGATTCTCCCGGGCAAGTAGTCCCAACCATCATGAAATAAATGCAAATAGCCCATTTTTTGTTTGCTTGTCCACAAAGCACAATGGTACATGATCAATATCTCATTGCCGCTGTCAAATGAAGAACCACAATCAATAAGTGCAATTTTTTTTGTAAAAAAAAATATATATATATGTATATATATATCCATTGAAAGTGAAGAAAACACCCTCTGTGATGTAACGTTGTACTCACTCACTCTATAAGACTGAAATCTTACAAGTAAAAAATTATTGACGAAATGCTTTGGTGGAAAAAATTTGTAGGAATTAGGGTCACCTTGACTTATTGAGGGTTTAAGATAAATTTAGAAGATAGAATCCCGGCTCTCATATATATTTAAAAATATATATTAATAAAATAATAACAATCTTCAATTTATTTTTATTTTTATTTGTACCTTTTATAAATTTGTTGCATATAGTACTCATAATTATTGACGTAAATCATAATTATTGAGATAAATTTTGAACATTTTCTATTATTAACACTATTAATTTATTCACACTTTTTCCTGACATAGTAGTTAAATTGTAAAATTTAATTAACTTCAACTTCAAAAAATTATTTCTCCAGAACCAATTGTAACTCACATAGTCAAAAAATATTCTATAAATAATTCATACATTTGGCAAGTAACTATTATTATTTTTAAATAATTCACCAATTCCATTGTTTGTTTAAATTTTTATTTTTAAACTACTAATACTATAATGTAGTATTAGGTTTACTGAAACGAAATTGAATTGAATGAAATGGTCATTTCTTAATCACTTTATAAAATTACTATTATCTCACAATGATGAATGATGATTTCATTTGTAATCTTTTGTAATACAGTAAATCAAATGTGAAAATAGATATTATGAGGGAATCGATTACTCTATTCAACTTTATTTTGATAAACCAAAGATAGCTTAAGATCGAAATAATCATAACTTAATATCGAAATTATTTTGAAACCCTAGTTTTTTAAAAGGAATTTGAGACCTCGAAGCGACAGCCTTACCTGCCTTATCTTAGGACCGGCCTGGTGGGGATGTAACACTGCCCTAAATTAAATGTCACAAAGCGCCCCCCCCCCCCCAAAAAACCCAAATCTAAAATATAAATTTGTGAAGATAAAAAAAATAAAAAAATTAAAAAAAGGTGAAAACAAGTGTTTTATAGTGTGCAAGGATAATGGCTAACTTGCCAATATCTGAGTTCATTCCGTTTCATGAGTTTAAACATTCATTTGATTCTATACTAGGTTGGCTCGGAAATGGCCAATAAGGTGTGTGGTTGGATTGGTAAGGTCTGTTGGGAATTTTTTAAATTAAATGGGTTATTTTGTTTAGGGTATTTTCAAAATCTTCATTATTTTTTCTTTGTGGAGAACTTAATAAGGTGGTTCAGAAAATATTCTTTAAATATATAATTATGGAATAAATGTTAGTGTGTATGCACACCTACCACAAGGCATGTGTGGCATGTTCAATGTTGTATGACACATCAACATGAGAATGGGGCAATTGTAGTCATTGACCAAGTAAATGCACGATCGAGTGGATCAGATAGTACCCGATCGTGATTGGGAGGAGGTTGTGTCTAGTCAAGATAACCCTTCGGTGTGAAGCAAAGTTGCACTGTAGGTGGTCAATCTAACAGACATATATGATTAGATGTGATTGATAAGCTCAAATTCCTATTTCATCTATTTTCATTGATTTTCCTTGCCTTCCAACTAATGTTCATCCTATGCATACCAGATCAAAGACCAAATTTCCTACCTGTCTCATTGTTTCTTGTTAGGTTTTATTCTTGACAATCCCGTTTAACAAAACTCAATTTCAGTTGTAATTTTTTATTCGATCATTTATTTCAGTGAAACTGAGTTTTAGATGCGAATCCAACCCGAATTATGCCTATGCAAAGGAGTTTGTGATCCTAATCCTGTCATGTTTACCACTTCGCTGACTATGACGGGAATCAAGCTGCCCGGTGAGCTCGCGAGTCTAAGGCAGCGCCCTGGCGGGGTCAAGGGGCAGCACCCATGAAGCAAAATACAAAAATGCATTCAAAGTTGCTTGTCCGCTCGAGCGGCCGTTTCTGCGCTCAAGCGGAGAATGTTTGGTTCCAAAAGTTTAATCTGTCTGCAAAGTGCTGGAAGTTGGGATTCTATGCTCAAGCGGCCATTCTTGCCCTCGAGCGTCAATCCGCTCGAGCAGAGATTGCGAAACAGATTACTATAAATATGTGTTTCAGTCAGATTTTAGGGTATGGCCTCCAGATCTTCTTATTTGATATTAAGATTTATATCTGGGGCTATTTTGCTTGGTTTATTTGATGTTTAATTGAGAATTCAACTCATGGTTTAAGAAGTATATATCAAAGGATTATTTATTTATTCTATACAAAAGAGAGAGTTGTTCTTTGGTGGATTCCATAGAATTTGAGCCTGAAGCTTTGATGGATTCTGGAGTGGCTCATCGTTGTGGATTCGACATTGGTGTTGTGTATTTAACATTGGGCAAGACGATTTCGAGGTGAATACTGTGATGGAAGAGGCATATAGGGGTTGGTTCAATTCGGGCGTGGATTCGCTAGGTAATTGAGAGTACACTTGTGTAATTCATTTAGTCTTCTTAGTGGATTGTTTTGTGGCTTTTGCCCGCGGTTTTTTTTATTATTATTATTTATCACAATTGGAGGCGCTCCAATTATGATTTTTCCACGTAAAATCATTATGTCGATTTGTCTTGATTGTTTGATTAGGATTGTTATTTACTACTTAAAATTAATATATAATCACAAATCAATATCTAGGGGATTTCTAGATTTTTCACTTCTATTGATAATTTTGAACCTCAAACCTATAAAAAAGAAGGTTGTTTCTTCTCATTCTTGGCAAGCTGCTATGCTTGATGTATATAAGGCTCTTCAAAGACAAGGCACTTGGTCTTTGATGCCTCTCCCAACTAGAAAACAAGCTATTGGATGCAAATGGGTTTACAAATTAAAGAAAAATTTAGATGGTACTATAGCAAGGCATAAGGCTAGACTTGTGGCCAAGGGCTTTCTCCAAACTTAAGGTGTTGATTATCATGAAACGTTTAGTCTTGTAGCAAAGCAACCAACTATCAAGGTTCTCTTATGTCTTGCTTTTCATTTTGATTGGCCAATTAAGCAACTTGACATTTCCAATGCTTTCTTACATGGTGTTCTAGAAGAGGAAGTGCACATGGTTCAACCATAGGGTTTTATTCATCCCACAAAGTCATCTCTTGTTTTGCAAATTAAACAAAGCACTTTATAGTCTAAAACAAGCTCCTCAAGCTTGGTTTTCCACCTTTTTAACTTTTCTTTTCACTTAAAACTTTGTTGCCTGTCACTGTGATTCATCTTTGTTTGTCAAAAAGACTCCTACTTCCATCACTATTCTTTTCATTTATGTGGATGATATTTTTCTCATAGGCAGTGATCCTCTTTACATTGATTCTCTTATCAAACAAATGCATGCTTCCTTTTCCATGAAAGAGATTGGTTTCATTAACTACTTCTTAGGAATTTCTATCACCAAGTCCTTCTCAGGCTATGTTCTCTCTCAACATAAGTATGCCTCAGATATTTTGGCCAAAGCTAGCATGAGTGATTTTAAGCCCTATTCTTTTTCTATGGCTTCTAAGTGTTCCATCTCTTCATCTTCCCATGATGACTTGCCATTCTCTCAGCCATCTCTTTAAAGAAGTTTGGTAAGGGCTCTTCAATATCTTACTATCACCAGGCCAGATCTAACCTCCGCAGTGAATCATGCTTGCCAATATATGCAATCACCCTTAAACAGTCATTTTGCTGCTGTTAAAAGGTTTCTTAGATATCTGAAAGGGACTTTGACTCATGGCCTTCATTTCTCCAATGGTCCTCTCATTCTTAATGCATAGTTAGACTCAGATTAGGCTAGTAATGTCCTTGATAGAAGATTCGCTACTGGCTGTTGTATCTATCTTGGTTCAAACTTAATCTTTTGGACTATTAAGAAACAACCCACAGTTTCTAGATCATCCTCAGAAGCAGAATACAGGGCCTTAGCTTAGGCTACAACATAAGTTAGTTGGCTTGGCATGTTGTTAGTTAAGCTCCATATTCATGTGTCTGTTCCTACTCTTTGGTGTGACAACCTCTCTGTGCTATTGCTATGGCCAATAATCCTATTTTTCATGCTCGCACAAACCATATTGAAATTGACTATATCGTCAGTGAAAGGGTTGCAGCAAAGAAGCTTCACATTTCCCATGTTCCAACCACTGATCAAGTTACAGACATTTTTACTAAGCCTTTGTTTGTGGCTCGATTTCAATATCTCCAAAGCAAACTCTTAGTCCTTCCCGGTCCTATGAGTTTGAGAGTGAATGATAAGCCAATTGATCAGCACATTCCAAAAGAGTCTAAACAAGCTTCAGAAGCTGCAATTGGGTTGCAGCCTACTGCACATGAGTTGTAGCATTAGATGCCACAAGCTCCAAACAAGTCATAGCCAAGGCCACAGCCACAGCCGCAGCCAAGGCTGCAGCTCAAAACAGAGCAACTCAAGCTACAACACTAGTGTTCAGTATTTTAGCATTCCTAGCACATGTGTAATTGAGTGGTTAGTTTGTTATAATTGAGTGGTTAGTTTGTTAGGAGTTAACTATAGTTAGTTAGGTAGTTGTGGTTAGGTTTAGATACATGTTAGACTTGTATATAATGATCTATATAGCGATCCCGGTTTCCCCTTTTCTTTAACTGTTGTACCCGGACTTAGGTTCTGTGGAGTTGGTTGTTGTTTATGTCTTGTTTACATCCTTTACTCCTTGCATTCGAGTTTTGGGTTGTGTTGGGCGAGTTTGAAACAGGTTGGTTGGACTTAGAAACCAAGAGTAGTTGCCCAGATTTTGGCCTTCACGCTCGAGCGGGGATTCTGACGCTCGAGCGGGCCCTTCGTAGTTGTCTGTCCACTCGAGCTGGGTTTTCGACGCTCGAGCGTAGTCTTCCATCTTCCAGTATCTCCTCTGCAGAGTTGTACACTCGAGCGGGAGTTTTGACGCTCGAG